CAGTATCATATGACAGTTGCGTCTTGCGTGGCTAGCTGCAAAAGAGAAATCGGTAAAGGAGGTGGAACCACGGAAGAGTCATCCTTGACCTTCTGTAAGTTCTTAAGAGCTGGAGTGACGACGTTCTTAGTAGATAGTCTGCGGTGAATGGTTGGAGTTGTCCTGCGGAAACGTCGCACCAGCATAAAGAACCATCTCATGTGTGGTATACCACTAGAAAACTGGCTTACAGTGACACTTTTTTAGTGACACTTTTTAAAATAGTGTCATTACTATACGACATAAGACATTTATGATATATAAATGTCATTGAGTTATGACACAATTGTATTAGTGAAAATCGGTGACACTAACCACAATTTATAATTTAGTTTTACATTTTTATAAACTAAAATAATTTACATACCATATATCAGAGTAATATATTTTCCTCCCTTAATCGATTCTCTAGATATCGTTTTCTTCCTCCTCCATCCTCCCTTAAACAGTTAGATTCTTTCTCAACTTTAATCATATTTTTATATCATCTCACTTGAAGTTCTATGTTTGCTTCAAAAACATTATAAATGAATTGTGTATTGTTTAGTATACAAGTATTGAACTTTATTTGTTATATTAGTACTTTGAAAGACGTAAAAATACATATTCAATCTTTGTGTGCAGATTTTTCTTGAATGAGAAATATCCTGAATTTATTATTTAGTTTTTGTCTTATTGAGTGTCAAGTGTTATGAGCTTCATGTTTACAGGAGAATCCGAATAAAACTTAGCAACTCTTTTTGTTTACAGGAGAATCAGAATAAAACTTAACAACTCTTTTTGTTTACTGGAGAATCAAAATAAAACTTAGCAACTCTTTTGACAAACATATGCTTGAAGCATTTGATATTTCAAGTAGGCTTTTCCCAGATATGGACTGAAATACTCTTAATATAAATTATATATGTTAGCTCTTTCTCCCTAACAAATTGTATATGGTTAAAAGTAACATATCTTGGTTACTTCCTAATTTATTCTCCATATAACTTAATGTTGATGTTTGTTTTTACAGTATTGGACAACAAGGTTTAATGAAGTTTGCAGCAGAGTGTGAAAATGCATGGGAATTGGACATGGAGCGGATTGATGAACTAATGATTGTATTTCTATTTTAGAGGATTAACAGTCATTTTGAAAACATGATATAGCTTAGTCATGTTGATGAACTGTAATAGATACTACATATTAGTTATTGATGTTTTAAGACATGGCTCTTCAATGTCAATGATCATGGAATGACCTTGTTTGTATATTTTGTTATGCATGTAATTACTAAATGTATGGAATGATTAATGACATCATTATGTGATAATAAATGGATATGATAATAATGTGTTACAAATAATAATGATACTAGTGTATCATAATATGTTTTGATACAATGATGTCAGTTTTTTATATGATACTAATGAGTCGCAGAATTTAGTGATACATTGGTGTCACTCTTTGATGACACTTCCCCGTGACACTAAATTTAGTGTCACCATTTCCGGCCTACTGCGACGAATGTTACGTGTCTCGAAAACTTTCTGTGACACAAAAAGAATGTCACTATAAGGCCTTTTTCTAGTAGTGGTAGATGTTAGACTTGATTTTTTTCGTTCCTCTTCATGATCAGCTCTTTAATATCATCCCAGACCAGGGAGACGTAGTCATAGTCCTTGTTGAACGTTATGCCATGGAAGATCATCAGAATGTAGATGTTGCACTTGTCAAAACCAGAGTGCTTGGCAGTGAGGCACTTGTTTAGTGTTGCTAGCAAAGTCCTCCATGGTCTTGGTAATCTCCCCGTGTTAACTTGGGAGATCAGCTTTATTGGCATAACATGGCCCAACGTTATCATGTCAGCCATGGTCTGCTCTTCACTAGCCAGTTCATCATAATGAGCCTGGGCCAGAAGCACAACCACGTGTCCCCAAGAAAACACCCATCGGGAGGCACCAACAACGTGTCCCCGGGACCTGGCTCCACCACTAACACGCATAAGACTCGACGTAAAATTGCATCATGTGACAATCCACCTCATCTGCCCTCGTCCTCAGAGCGCAGTGTGTTGATAAATGAATGCCCTTCGGAAATGCTAACGGGTCAGAAAGGTTTCTCAGTGACCTTTTCCCCTTTCTTTCCCATAACTGCTGGCAGGGGCTTCAGGCACGGTAATTGGGAAGAGGGACCAACTTCATCGTTTCCCCTTGGCGGTGCATCGGTGTGGGAACGAAGACGTTCTTTTTCGGCCTCCTCTTCCTCAATTTGAACGGCCTCTTCCATTTCCTCATCCTCCAGTTCCTGCACATAGCCTTCGACTTCTACTTACCGCAGTGAATTCATATACGAAGAGCCTTCGGCATAAACCTCCGACACCAGTCACCACCGTCAGGAAGAGGATCACTTTCATAATCCCGATCTCATCCTTTTCACCAAGGAGCCAATAGCGGAGAAACCCCAGTTTCACTAGTTCATCCGGGACCGTTGAATCCTTGATCGTGGTCAACTCCTCCACGACAAATTCTTGCCCCTCCTTCTCAAGGGCGGCGCTCCCCACCTTTGTATGCCACTAAAAGCTGTCACGAGGGGGCCCTGGGAAAGGGGTTTTAGCCATCTGTATAGCAGAAGTGGTCCTCTAACCCTTATAGGACGAATGCACCTCATTGAACAACCTCCACTCCGGGACCTGTTGCAGATTGGCAAAGCCCTCGCTATTTGTGTGCCCCCTACGGTAGAGCTTAAAGCACAAGAAGAACAGATAGTGGCAGGAACCCGAATATGTGAGAATGACTGTTGGGGGTCAGTTGTCATTGCACCAAATTTACGAACCCCATATACTTCAATAAAAACGGATGCAGTGAGAACCGAAGGCCCATCGTCACCAAAAGCACATGGACCGCAAAAACACCCATCGGGAGGCGCCAACAACGTGCCCCAAGGACTTGGCTCAGGGAAGAGGATCGCTTTCATAATCTCGATCTCATCCTTTTCACCAAGGAGCCAATAACGGAAAAAAACTAGTTTCACTAGTTCGTCCGGGACCGTTGAATCCTTGATCGCGGTCAACTCCTCCACGACAAATTCTTGCCCCTCCTTCTCAATGGCGGCGCTCCCCACCTTTGTATGCCACTGAAAGCTGTCACGAGTGGGCCCTGGGAAAGGGGTTTTAGCCATCTGTATAGCAGAAGTTGTCCTCTAACCCTTATAGGACGAATGCACCTCCTTGAACAACCTCCATTTCGGGACCTGTTGCAGATTGGCAAAGCCCTCGCTATCCACGGTAGAGGTTAAAGCACAAGAAGAACAGATAGTGGCAGGAACCCGAATATGTGAGAATGACTGTTAGGGGTCAGTTTTCATTGCACCAAACTTATGAACCACATATACTTCAATAAAAACGGATGCAGTGAGAACCGAAGGCCCATCATCACCAAAAGCACATGGACCGCAAAAACACCCATCGGGAGGCGCCAACAACGTGCCCCAAGGACTTGGCTCCATCATCAACGCATAAGGCTCGACGTAAAACTGCATTGTGTGATAATCCGCCTCATTCGCCCTTGTCCTCAGAGCTAAGGACACATTGTGTTGATAAATGAATGCTCTTCGGGAATGCCAACGAGCCAGCAAGGTTTCTCAGTGACTTTTTCCCCTTTCTTTCCCCTAACTGCTGACAGGGGCTTCAGGCACGGTAATTGGGAAGAGGGACCAACTGCACCGTTCCTCCTTGGCGATGCATTGGTGTGGGAACATAGACGTTCTTTTTAGCCCCCTCTTTCTCAATTTGGACGGCCTCAGTCATTTCCTCATCGTTCAGTTCATTCACAAAGCCTCTGGCTTCTACTTCAGCACGAAGGTGGCCATCTAGCTCTCGAGCAACTTCGGAATCTCCCCCTACCGATGGTTGTGGGCTCATTGACCTCGAATCCGACCAACTCTCGAACTGTACTGACGACGACACAGATATATTATGAGAATCACTTTGAGACGACATTGCTTCATAGCAACTGAGAAATTACACACGACCCTAAGGGTGAGAACTACTAACACTAAATCTAAGACTAAAGAAGCAAAGTATGAGAGAAATGACAAGAACAAATGAAGAACTGACCTTAGAAGATTGTTTTGAATCGATGAAGAGTTTATCTCTCTAAAGTCGGGCATAGCTTCAATTCAGATTAACCCTATGGCAATCTAACCCTATGGCTTCTTCTCTCAAATTAACAAGAGTTTTGATGAATCTAAGGTTTTTTATGTTGTCTCTCTTATTTAATCTCTATCTTATAGGATCCTGGTTTTGGTACGACATCTTCTTTGACCGAGAGTTATGTCCGCTTCAAGTGAGCGCGCATTTTGTTCTTTTCCTAGAAATGTCTGGAGGTCCTGTCTTCCTCGTCGGTGTAACCGATCGAGTGGTTAATTATTCATGGTTGGAAAACAGGTTCAACCTAATTCTTCCGAAGCTTCAATTACTCGCCTTCCTCCTCCTTATGAACCACCACCTCATTCGAAGAAAAAGATAGCGCTCAATTGAATCTTCTTTTCAGTGATTGGTCAAACTGATGATCCGGACAATGTTTGCTCATTTGAGCTTCATTTGTTGGTTGCTGGTCAAACCAATTCTCCCTTTCCAGTGGCTGGTGAAGCCGAATCTTTTAGTTGTAATTTTTATTTTTTCTTTGAATAGCAAGAAGAGCAGCAAAACTGTTAGACTAGACTAATTATTGCACGATTAACGATATGAAAGGATTCATGAGATCCTTTCCGTTCTATGCCTCGTCTCATTGTAATCTCAAATTATTCATTCTCTTGTATCTTTACTATCTTTTAATAATAAATTAATTATTTGATTTAAAAAGAAATCAAGATTTGTTCTGGTGGAAAGAATTACGGAGTACTTGTTACTTAAGACCACCCCTCATATATATGAATAAATTCATATATACTCCCGTGAGCTTTACTTCAAATCTCATTCTACAATAGTACAATACTCCGTAATTCCCAGTTCCAATTCTTTCTACATTTTGTTTTAACTTGTAATTCTTTCTACATTTATGCACCTAAAAACTTCTATATTTCTACAATTCATTCTATACTTCGACGCAATGGCCAACTCCAATTTTTTCTACAATTACTACACCTAAAAAATTTCTTCAGGTTTTTTCCTTCGGCTCTGGTGTCATATATCCGACAATTCACCTACTTCCATATCCAGAGGTAACTCTTTTTCTGCGCTCCATTTCAATCTTCCGCTCCTTCAACTTCCAACCCTATTAAATTAAATACTCAAATAAAATTATGTCTAGTTTCAATTATTAGATGTTTAAACGATTAATGAATGAATTTTAGATGGTCAAAATTTCAAATCGGAAATACTACTCTACAGATCTTCTATTTAGCCCTATATTTCCGAGCCCTATATTTCCGAACATGTGTATGATAGAACACTTACAGATCTAATTTTCTCGTTTCAGATAAATATATTTTCTTTTTTCTACTTTTCAAATTGTGAGGTATTTATATATTTTATTTATAGCAGACTGATTCAGTTGTTTTTTTGGTATTTTCCTTCTGTGATCTGTGTTTCTGTAGTTTATTTCTTTGAAGTTAAGAGTTTATTTTACATTGGAACATCTGGAAGAATTCTTCATTTTTTGTCTGTTTCTATTTTTAGCTTAGCAAAAGAAAACTTTAGGCAAAGAAACTGGATTGCCTGTGTTAAGAATGAGAACATTTATTGTTCAAAATATAGTCAGAGCACAAGCTGTTTTCTCAAATCTCTGGGTGGGGATAAATTTGTTATTTGGAACTACAAAATAGCTATCACTATTGTTGTTATTAGTGTTTTGCAGTAGGTATTTCTCTGCACCACTCCCACTCTACATTTTATTGGACACAAGACTAACAACAAAAGCAAATTATACGGAGTATAAGTTTGACAGATACTTCGGCAATCAGCATGGTGCATTTTTACCACAGTGTCTTCTAGTACTTTTAATACTTTTTCTTCAGTTAGTTTAGTGAGAAATGATGAACTCATGAGCATGATTTATATGCATTCTTTCAGTATATGTTTCTAGAAAAAGCTGGAATATGAAATACTAGTGATTCCAAAACCCAAATTTGAAACAATGAGTCCAACTGCGTTAAAGCCATGGTCTTAGCATTTATGTTCTTCTAACAAGTTTTTGGTATCAATTATTCAATTATAAGCTTTTGGCTTTTCATCATCTTAATTCAACATGCATAAGTTTATAGCTGGTAGCAAAGTAGCTCAAGTCGGTGGTGTAGGTAAAATTGGCAGTTCATTAGTACTATAGTGATATAGTCAATAGATCCCAAATTTATTTTAGCTTTTTAAGTCCTCCTCTCTATCCTTTTCAGGATTAGCCAAAACATAATTATTTACTTTTCAGTTAGGAATAAAATTGTGATTTTCACTATTCCGTTAGTTTTAAATCTTAATGTGAACCTATACTTGTGATCTATTCTCTCTGTCCAAAATTCCTCTCACTTTGACTTGAAACTATTAGTTAAAGAGTGAAATTGTTTGGTTTATCTAGAAAAGCTTGCAACAATATTAACTAAACAATATTTTCCTCAATAGGAAATGAGAAGAAATGTTGAGGACAGCCCAAAAAAGAAAAAGACGAGAGGAGTGCATATTAGTTTGATTTTTGTATGATTGCATTTGATAACTTAGGACCTGCTTTCTTTTCCTGAAAATGATGTGATTTTTTATTATTATCTGGTCCAGATGTTTTTGCTATCTGAAATATAACATAACATCTGGGAAAATACGTTGATCTTGTTCGATTTTCTCATATTTTCTGAATATTTGTGGGCTGGTCTGGACCCTTCCAATATGGGGTCTTAATCTTTCTTATATGGGGTTTTGATTTATTAAGTTAATAATAAGTGATACGTTCAAAAAATAAGTTGAAGCAGATCACACCTTTATATCTTATTCTAAATAAATGGGACTCATGTTATGCTGGAATCTTTTTCTCTTGCAGGAAAATTGTGACACTTACTCTATAATCACAGTATGTGTTTGGTATTCATGCACAGTTGTTGACCAGTATTGCCATGCAAAACTTTGCTAACGGGGTGAGTAACAAGGAAAGCATTTGGCAATTGATGCAATGTCTGCATCTAGTAAATATGACCTTACTTCCAGTAGCCCAGATAGGATGGTATACGGATCTGGGCAGTGTAGATCCTATGGAGCAACTTTACTTGAGAAAACAGGTAACATGGACAATCCAATGAAATCTTCTCTTCCAAACATGGCAAGAAGCAGCAGTTCTGGTGCAACCCAGGGAGATGTTGTCAAATTCTTTCAGTGCTTACGTATTGATCCAAAAGCAATGGTTACTGAACACAAACTCAGACAAATAGATTTTAAGCGGCTTACAAGTCTATCACTTGGTGCACCCCTGGAAGATTCTCCATCCATGCCTTCAAAAGGAAAACCAATATCTTCTTCCTCGCCCGAGGATGTTAGACGGCTAAAGTTAAGTCTTCGAGAAAGTTGCAGCAAGGCGAGGTAGTTTTCGGAGTGTCATCTTTTCTTGGTTCTTTGTTTACTTCATGGAGTCAATTGCTGTACTTTATAATATGTACAATTGTACATTATATCAGGGAACGTGTGAAGATATTCTACGAATCTTCATCTGTCTTCAACAAATGTTTTCCTAATGTTCCGTCAAGGAAAAGATCTCGCCCAGATGTCTTATCCAATGATAGAAACAGTGCTTTGTTTTCAAATGAACGTCCAGTTTGTGGGACAAGCATTAGTAAGATGGGGATTCAAAACCTTAGCAACATCAGTGGGTTTGAAGTGGAGCAGCAAAAGTCAGATGAAAGGACAAAAACTATTATTCCAAGCAAACGTACCCGAACTTCTATGGTATCCAGTGAACTGCAAACTTGATCTATCATTCATTCAAATGTTCATACCTTGTTTCACCTTCTGTTGGATTAGACGTTTCTTGGTCAAGACTTGATATGATGATAGTTTCTTGCTGATCTATTTTCATTATCCTTTTTGTTTTTACCCCCACTTCCCGAATTTCTTCTCTGCTTGGACTTCGTTTATTATTATTTATTTATTGTGAATGGGCTTCAAAAATGATTTGTAGCTAGAGTGCCAGACTCTAGCATTGATATTGGATCTCCTTTTTGTGCCAACACTATTGGATTCTACTTTTCATTCCTAGTCATTGAATTTAAATTTTAGATCGATTCCATTTTTGATTAAGTTATTTTTCCTCTTTCGTCATTGTAGTCTAGGGCAGAAGTGGAGGGGTGGCCAACCGGGCCACGGCCCAGCCCAAAATTTAAAATTGCTTATATTTTTAATGTAAAAATTTATGTGTAAAAATTTATACTCTTACTCCTGGCTACGCTCCTGAATTCGTAGTATACTTTAAGTCCTTCAAATCTTATTTTTGAAAGGGATGACTAATTTGTTTTGTTATTTTAGTCTGATGTACGACCGAACACTCCTGCAAGGCAATCAGGAAATCTTGATAGGGATATGGATTTACTAAGGCTTCCCAACAATAACCCTATCCAGTGCGATGATCGAACATCAACATCTCTTCCCATTGAAGGTTGGGAGAAATTAAGGATGAAGAAAAAGCGTTCTGGAATAAAGCCAGACGTTGCTGGGGGTTCTGCTGCTGCTAAAACAGTTGACGGCTATCAAGAATCAAAACATGGAGTGCAGTCACGACTTCTAACTGATGCTCGTCCAAGGTTGGGTGAAAACCAGAGCTTCAGGTAAACCTGCAACTCCTTTTACCCAGCATAGTTCCTGCCTAGTTCAGGAATGTATTCTATTTCAATTGTGAGTATCTCAATCCTTTAATTGAGAATGCATTATGTATTGAGATATGAGAACAAATAATCCCTGCTAAATCAAATACATATTAACATATATGAGTTTTGGCATGTATCATCATACAAGAATGGATATTAATTTTAGAATGGATGATTTGAATTTTGAAGAGTATTGATTTTGTTTCTAATTAAGTTACTTTTAGAGAATGGGTAGTCGTATTTGGAGCATCTCAATTTGATATGGATCCTTTCAAATGTCAAGAATGGAGTAGTTGTGCAACCTTGCTATAACAAATTGAGACAAACCCTCCTGTACAGGAATGTATTATGTGTTATTAGAGTTTTGATGATTTCAGCTTGATTAAGCTTTTCATTTTCCATCCCCACCAACAAAAAATCAATTTAGCCATTCACATGAACAACTATGAAAAGAAAGCCAGCTATGATGTAAAAAGTGTATGCAATATGGAATTGATCATTTGAGAAAATGGAAAAGATGCCTCTCAGACTTCTCTTATATTCTATGCATGCCTCAACTTGGGCTCCAGTGCATTGCGTAGGCCTGTGGAGTACGATGAGGAACCTGTAGAATTGATGGATGGCTGCTACAAAAAGTGTGTTTTTGGTTTGACGAGTGGCTGCTGAGTGGTCTTAATTGTGTATATGCTATTCTTTTTAATCCTGCATGGATTTTTTGGATTATATTAAGTGTAAAATGTAAAATGGTTTGATGCTGATAGAGAACTCCAGAAATCTGTCGGTAACTTACGAAGGAAAGTGAAGCAACATAAACGGAATTACAGAAGAGGCAAGTTCGAGAGTGCCTCTTCTCTCCCAAGTCCCTGTCCCATTCCAAGTTCTCCTGCATTTTCCCCTTACCCACATATTACTATAATACTCTCCTTATGGGCTGGCCCTCAGCCCTAAGTTATTGGGCCTAGAACTCTGTTATTGTACAATATCCAATACTTAATATTATTCTTATTACTAGTACTATCATCACTCCCCCCTTGACAACCACCTTGCCTGCCCTCAAGGCGAGGATTAAGAAACAGTTATGTTATTCAGCTTCATCCTCGCACCTCTTCCTTCCCAATACCTCCCTGGTTGGCGGTTGCTGGATGATAGGATCCTGCGCTATTGAGTAATAAGAGTCTTATTAAGTAATTTTAATAGTGTCAATAACAGGGTTTTAGGCCCTATAACTTAATAGAAGTGGGCTGGCCCATTAGAAATAGAATAAATAAGGGGGAGGGGTGAGTAGATGGGCAGGCAGAATTTGGATAGGAATTAGGCCCTGGGAGTGTTGAGACGACTCGAACAGTCTCTACTGTATCTTTCTCGCTTCAGTTTATCAATTCTACGTCAATTTTGCATCTCTTCGATTCCTGGTTCTATCATTGGTATCAGAGCCACGATCATTGCACCTGTGCATGGTACTCACTCGACTGAACATGGAGCAACGGATGGACAGTTTGGAGCTATCAATTGAACGATCAAAGGAAGAGATGCGAACAGAGTTGGGAGCGATTGATGAGAAATTGCAGATGCTGTTGGACAAGATGCGCACCAAGCTGCGTCAACGTCGTCGGCGAGGACGATCGCAGACCGTGCGACACTGTCAAAATTCGGAACCCAAAGGTTCATCTCCATCGCAGACTCTATATAGTAGTAGTAGTAGTAGTCGGACACAGTTCGGACCGGGGGCTGCTGGACAGGATCATTTCTCTCTCTCTCTCTCTCTCTCTCTCTATATATATATATATATATATATATATATATATATATATAGGAAAGTTCATGTCAGGACCTCCAAAAACGGACCTCCGTATGGACCTCGGCGTTCTTTAACGCAAGCTGTTTGTCTATGTTCGCAAATAGCTCCTCCTAGTTCGCAGACTTCGTCGAGTTCGCAGGCATCTTCGCTATCAGTTGTTCTGAGTTCGCATGATTGGTCGCAATCAGTTTCTCCCAGTGCACAAGTGTTATCCGCTTCCGGAACTTACACGAAATTGAAGACAGCTGGACCATCAGTCCCGGAGCCTGGTATAGAAGATGATACGACTCAACCTACGGAAGATTCAGAAACGTTTGAGGTGGATGAGGAGGGAATTCATTCGAGTAAAATGAATGGGCAACTGTCAAAACAACTGGAAGAGCAGGTAAAAGACACATATAAAACTGAGAGGAGGGTGCAAGCAGTGGCTTGGAAATCCAATATTGCTAGGATGAATTTTGGTCCTGACATTTTTGTGCCTACAACTGGGCCCGGTCCCATATTGGTTCAGTCACAACTTTTTCTAGTGGGGACAGGAATTGGTGCATTCTCACCTGTAATTGTGTCGCTGAAACCTGGGCAAGCTGTGTCTGGAGATCTTAATGGTGAAAGTTCCAATCCACGCGGCACCGAAGGTACTAGAAACTCTACCATGAGGGGGGTGGAAGTCAGGGAACTTCCTATTAGGACTATGGTTGCTGCAGTTTATGCTTTTCCTGGACGCGCAATTTTTTATGCATCTCGAGATTCTATGGAATTCTTTAACTCGGTTTTGAGTAGAGTTCAGCAGGTCACTTCTGAAACTGGTATGCATTGGAATGCTTCACCAATATCTGATAAAAAACTTTCCCACAATGTTGAGATAAGGCAACAGCCAAACACTGAGGTTTCTGGAATGCCAAGTCTGAGGCTGTTTGGCGTTACTGTCAACCATAGCTCAATGGTTGAAGTGGCAAAAGGAGTTGCAGTTTCATATAGCTTAGTGTTCCTTGATGACCATATTCAGGTTAATGGAGATGAAGGACTAGACAAGATTAAGCATCTCCAAACTCATGAAAACAATGAGATGTATAAAAAAGCTGTGATATTCTTAGACAAAGATGGGGCTGAGCAAGTGCAGATGAAGGTTAAAGTAACAAAGTTCTTTGTCCAGAATTCAGTGAGGTATTGGGAAGGAAGAGGCGCAAGGATGAAGGTCAAGTTGAAGATTGTTTCTTATCACCCACCTTGATGACAAGGTGGTTGTCAAAGGGGGGAGATATGATAGGATCCTGCGCTATTGAGTAATAAGAGTCTTATTAAGTAATTTTAATAGTGTCAATAACAGGGTTTTAGGCCCTATAACTTAATAGAAGTGGGCTGGCCCATTAGAAATAGAATAAATAAGGGGGAGGGGTGAGTAGATGGGCAGGCAGAATTTGGATAGGAATTAGGCCCTGGGAGTGTTGAGACGACTCGAACAGTCTCTACTGTATCTTTCTCGCTGCAGTTTATCAATTCTACGTCAATTTTGCATCTCTTCGATTCCTGGTTCTATCACTGGATCACGATCTTCATTACTTGACCCTTCATCATCCCTTTGAACAAAGCTGTCCACAACCAGGTTTAACCAGATTCTTTTCAGGGAGAGTGATGTTGTCACCCTGAAGAACATAATGATTGTTCTCTTGCTCAGATTTCCCGGTAGACCAGCAAATGTTCTCATAAAAATGCAAGTGTCTCGGGCTTGTCAGGATCAAAAAGGATTTGAGTTAACTGCTTTTCACATCACAAACAATTGGTACTGTAATAATATCTCCAAATGATCCAAGAAGTTTAAGGTCTATTGGCTCTACTTTATCAATGCCTTTCAACTTTGTAAGCCCAGATGACCAATCAAGTTTAGGTATCATCAAAACTTCTTCATATCCAATTTCACTCCCACCATAGACATAAAGGTCGCATTCATAAGTGGTATTTGGTTTGCTAGCCGAGCAACGCAACAGAATAACAGGAAACCTTTTACCTCCAGAGGATAGTTGTAAGTTAACAATGCTATCAGACCGATTTTCCGCCTTGTGGCCTTCTGAATAATCTGTGGCAGAAATAAGTTCAATCAACCTCCAAACAGCCTCATATTTCGCACTCCTGGAACCTCTGTGTTTGGCTGTAGCTTAATCTCAACAATGTGGGGAAGATTTTGATCAGGTCCTTGTGAAGCATTCAGATTATTACCAATTTCAGAAGTGACATGCTGAACTCTACCGAAAACCGAGTTGAAGAATTCCAGAAAACCTCGAGAAGCATCAGAAGCTGCACGTCCAAGACCAAGAGAAACAGGAACTGCAGTTGGGCAAACTTCAGGTCTCGCAGCCACTGACCATTTCTCCTGGCTTTCATCGTCGCCCTCAGTGAACTTCTCTGCATTTTCTCTGGATCGCGAAGCACTCCTATCGTCAGAAGAAGGTTGCCGCCCACTCACAGACTCCTGTGGGGCTGATTAAACCTGCGCACAGTGAGAAGTGTTTTGCGACAAAACCTGTGATGAGCCCCTGCGAACTGGTAGAAGTCGTTCGCGATGGCGAACTGGAAGACACGGCATTGTGACTGCGAACTGGAAACAGTGGCTAGCGACGACAACAAGCACCGGATTTCAGAAGGCCGACGACGTCTAGGGCTCCTCGCTCGGTCTCTAGGTCGCCTGAGACGAAGTTTGCGTAACATGTCGCGCATCCCATCCAGCGACTTGCCCAATGTAGTTATCATCTCCTTCACGTTGCGTTCAATATCCCATCCAGAGGCACTAGAACTCTGTTATCGTACAATATCCAATACTTAATATTATTCTTCTTACTAGTACTATCTAGCTCCCTATCAGATGCACCAGAGAAAAAACTTGTTTTGGATTCTGTTACGGATGTGGTTGGGAGATGGAAAGGAAGATGATTGAAATCAACAATGATGAAGAACTTTCCCACCCTAGGCAAGAGAGGGTGGCTCCCAACCCAGTTAAGACTCCAAGAAATATCTTCATACTATTGATGATATTTTACTTGAAAAGAGCACCTGTTTTGATAGTTCCCAACCTAGCTCGGTGCACATTGGCGTACCCACAATTCGAGGGTCCTGGGAAGGGTCCCACCTCATGGGTGTAAAAGGAGCAAGTCTTCCGTTGTCATTGTTG